AGCCTGACATCTCCCTAATCCACTGACTACCAAGCTGTTAACCTCCCACTTGGATTAGACAACCTGACATCTCCCTAATCCACTGACTACCACGCTGTTAACCTGACATCTCCTGTTAACCCATGCACTTTCTCAGAGACCATGTATTTTAATGTGTATTAAAATGCTGTAGCTTCACAACTATTCTACATAAACTTATAATATTTGTTTTCCCCACTAAATTAAACGGAGAACAAGTTTCAAGTACAAGAACTGTGTTATTGTGTTGACATCATCATCATGTGACTGTAGATTGATGCAAACAAATGCAGCCAAAATTATTTTTCTGGCAGAAAAAAAAAAATTTAGAAAAAATCTGCAGCTTCACAATTATTTAACACAAGCCCACTAATCGTGCACTTTTTCGCCAAACTGATGGAGAACAACAGATTTCAAGAATTAAAAAAAAAATTGCATAATCTTGCCAAACATCATCATCATCATTGATGAGAAATGAAATCAAAAATATTTCTTATACTAGTAGAATTAATTGTTGTTGTTGCTGAAATAATTGTGAATGAACGCTCTGTCTAAATATGAAATGAAATTCTGCAAATTCATTTTGCACCTAGAATGGCTAAAACAGTATGACTAAACTGACAACCTCAAACTCAGCACGCTAGCAGAAAATGCTTTCCGGTAAACATCAAGGATTGCATTTTGAAACAATGTTTGCTAAACTCTTAGCAACAGAGCTAGAATAGACAGTCTACACTAACAGAAGCATTTAACAATACACTATCAACTCTTTTAGAGTTTACCCCCTTTTCCAAGGAAAAAAACAACTAAACATTGTAACATATTTCTCTGTACTTCTCTCCATATTTCCCCCTTCATGTATCCCCCTACATCGACAGTATATGCAAGAATGCCAAGCCCATGAATGAAGATCTTAGTAAGATCAACGAATTACTCTTTGCAGATGACCAGGCCTTGATAGCAGATACAGCCATGAAATTGCAACAACATCTAACATCCATGAATGAAGAATGTAAAACAAATAATATGAGAATCAACACTGAAAAGACAGAAGTAATGTCAATAGGAAAAAAGAAGACAGATCTAAACATAGAAATAGAATACAAAGGCATTAAACAGGCATCTGAGTTTAAATATCTGGGAACTACATTTACCGAAGATGGGAAATTGGATAAAGAAATTGACATTAGATGCAGTAAAGCAAACCAAGTATTGGGACAGCTAGCCCCCCTCTTACAGCATAAGACAATCCCAATCAGCACAAAGAGACATCTTATTCAAAGCATATTTATTCCAACTCTGTGCTACCAGTGCCAGACATGGTCACTCACAACAAATCATAAAAGAAAATTAGTAACCACGGAAATGAGATGTCTGAGAAGGGCTGAGAGTGACCATAAGAGATAAGATCAGGAATGAGATCATAAGAGAACAAGTCGGCACAGAACCAATTCTGGATTACATACAAAGACAGCAAGTGAAATGGTTTGCCCACTTAGAGAGAATGTCTTGTGACACCATACCATACAAAGCATACATGGAAAGAGAAGAAGGACGTAGAGCATGGGGTAGACCAAGAACAAGATGGAAGGATAACATCAGAGAAACTCTACAACAGCACGATGTGCCTATGGTCGAGGCAGCCAGAAGAGCTAGAACACCCACAGCGGTAAAAGAGGAAGTGAAGAAGATGTATGAATGAATCAATCAGTCAAGAGTTAAAATCACCGCAATTGGGACATTCCCATAAATGCTCCGTCCACGTCTTCAGTAACTAGCCAAGAGCTGACATGCTAATAGTACCAGTTGCAATCTGACTAAAAGTTCACTTCTGCCTCCCCCTCAGTGTCAATCATCCTTTAGAACCCAAGTGCACAGACTCCACATCTGTTCATTCGATCCCATAGAGCACCCATCACATTCGCTCTATGATATGGCAGCCCACTGCCCAGAGGAGCAGCTGTCAGTCCATCACCCCACTCACCACCCCGCACACCTGAATATCCCCAACATAAAAATCCATGACACTCTCCTGACCCGGATCTCATCAAGTTTCGCAACCCACTCTGATCATAGGACACCAGCCGCAATTCCTTGAAGGATGCTCTGTGAGTCCACCATAATCACGTCAGGCAGTCTGCTTGCAAGCCATGGGAAAGCTACCTCCACCGCCTCCACTCCACACTGGATGCAGAGACCTTGAATGCTAGGCTCTCTGTTCTCAAGTGGTGTCTATTTACCTTTGCAATAAGCCCCCCCCCCCCCCCCCCCCCCCCCTCCCCTCCCTTTTTGCATACAGTGCTAACTAGCATGTCACTTTTTGTGTGTGCTATTTTGAATGTTGAATAATGTAAGGAAGCAAGCTTCATTCATGAAAAAGATCTACTATTCGCCAACAACCAGGTACGCATAGCAAAAAGTACTGAATGCCTACAGAACCACATAATTAGTAACAAAGGAAAGGAATATAATATGAAAATAAGTTTGTTATAGGAAGACAGAAATAAAATTAAAAAACAACACCTTAAGAACAACAGGAATTAAAGTATTTTAGAAAAATTATCTAGAGTCGTGCCTGAGCTAATCTCCCCTGTTGACACACAAGCAGATACCCCAGAGTAAGTAAAGTTCCCTTTTCACGCCTTTCGGCGCATCGGGCATATGGGCAGAGCATCCCATATTTTTACAGACCATCAGCACTCTGTGGGTAATGTGGTCAGCATTACGCCGGCTGTCTTTACTTTCCCAGGACAGCCCATCCTGGTATCCATTTTAGGCTGGGTCGACCTGCGACGTCCCATACCACGACAAAAATCCGCGCAGCCTGCAGTGGGTTTCGATCGCGGTATGCTGGCTTAGGACTAAAGTAAATCTTGTCAGAACTATTTTTGGCCAACATTGTGCTATCAATGCCAAATGTAGACAAATAATCCTCCAATGAACATAAAATTGTGACAGCAGAGATGAAATGCCTTAGAAGAGCTGCAGGAGTTTCAAGGAAACACGGAATACAAAATCACAAAATGAGACGAATGCTAGGAATAAAACCATTCTTAGGGGTCATCAAAGAACAATAAATGAAGAGGTTTGGACACCTAACAAGAATGCCCTGGTACCATCTGCCACAGCGAGCCACACTAAAACCTTACAACGGGTATAGAGCGAGTGGAAGACCTCGACAAATATGGAGCGATGGCATTAAGAACAGCCTTACTGAAATGAATATCAGTCTTAATAATGCTCTTGACAGAGCCCATCAACGAATGTTACATCTTCTCCCGACACTTTGATGCGGTACAAGGTGGAAGAGAAGAAGAAGAATAGAGAATCAACATCACTACTCAGAACACAAGGTGGAAAAGAAGAAGAAGAATAAAGAATCAACATCACTACTCAGAACACAAGGTGGAAAAGAAGAAGAAGAATAAAGAATCAACATCACTACTCAGAACACTCCTGTAAGCCCTCCATCTTCAGCAGCAAGCAAAGAGTTCCAATTCCGATGGCAGCAGTAACTGTCAGATTGTACATCCGTCTTGCCTTTCCCATGAGCGTTGAGTGTCAGCCAGATCCTGGTAACCCCCCCAAACACACACATCGCCATTCTCCAAATGGTCCTCACAGTATCTAGATTGTCATACATCAGTTCACCACAGAGTGGGTGTTTATTTCCCAACTCCCTGGCATGACCTGGAGAAAATATCTAAAGGACGCTAACTACTCAATATACTTTGGGAGTCAGTTACAAATACAACCTGCGTGTACAGCTGATTCTGAAGCCAGGGGAAGGCAGCGGTGACTGCCTCCACCTCCATCTCTCAAACTAGAAGTTGTGATATCATATGCCAGGCTTTGTTGCTTTAAGCGTTGTCCACTCACTTTTGCTGTGTACCTCATTGCACTTTGTCTGTCTCTCAACACAGTCATCTGTATAGATAAGCACATCACTTGGGTGGAAATTCTCATGAATCATTTGTTGAACTTTTATTCTTCGGACACAAGTCTTGATTTTTGCTTCGACACTTTGACCTACTCCTTTCCTCGCTCAAATTTTATCAAACCTGGACACATGTCCAATTGTGTATTCAGCTTGGGCCATCCAAGAGCTTCCTCTTTTCATTCTGTGACCCTAAGCTATACCCAGGGCTTCATGCAGAATTGTCTGCTAATTATTGTAATGACAGCAGTGGTGTCAGGTAATGTTGCTAAAGTTACTGTACCCTCTCATTATTGTAATGACAGCAGTGGTGTCAGTAATTTTGCTATAGTTACTGTACCTCTCATTATTGTAATGACAGCAGTGGTGTCAGGTAATTTTGCTATAGTTACTGTACCTCTCATTATTGTAATGACAGCAGTGGTGTCAGGTAATTTTGCTATAGTTACTGTACCTCTCATTATTGTAATGACAGCAGTGGTGTCAGGTAATTTTGCTATAGTTACTGTTACCTCTCATTATTGTAATGGCATCAGTGGTGTCAGGTAATGTTGTCAGGTAGTTACTGTACCTCTCACTACTATGTCCTGTATGATCTGTCTGTTTCTGAGAAAGGATTTATTTTTTGTGTTTCATCAATAATTGAAATAGATTTTCTAGAATGCATTTGACAGGAAACAGAGACATGTCATGACAAGAAATTGTTGATGTGCACATTTTTTTTAAAGGGTTTATTTTAAGTATTTATTATAATTTACAACATGTTTTAATTGACATCAGTCATTAATTTCATAAAACTAAACAAAAATTAACAAATGGAATACAGGCAATCATTTCACTTTAACAAAAAACTGTCAACTGTATAACATCTTATAAACTGTCATACATTATATAAAATACAGTGGGAAGACTTCATGTTTGTACTACTGTCATGTGATTGATGACCACCATTTGCTAGGTTTTACATCATTGTATCTTCTTTGTTACTCTTCTTGCCATTGTACTGTAAAGACTGCTTATTAAAATATATTTGTCATTATTCTAGAGGAGTAGCCAGGCCTGTCGTTGCTGTGGGTGGTAGCGAGGCAGTGGTGCAGCTGGCTCTCGGGGTGCTGGCGGAAGCCGCAGTTATATATCCACACTTGTGAGGGGTTTGAGAAGATATCCAGGGGAGGTAAGTTTATTGTAAGTGGCAGAAAACTGATATTCTCAATGACACAATGTAAAAACACCAGAACAGATAATCATGGTTAACTGCAGAACTCTGAAGAGCAGAGATAAAAGCATAGAAACCTGCAGTGTAAATGCTCTTAACAAAGCAAAAATCGAAAGAGTAGCAATTTATTGATTATGTCAGAAGTCGAGTAAAAAAAGGTTCTAAAACCATGTGTATTACATTTACACTGCAATATACCTGAAAATAAAGAGACTTCTAAATAAAAGACTACTTGAGCCTAACCTAGGGATAATCTGTGATGGGATGTGAGTTTGTAAAAGCACTTATAGACCTCAGTGGGAATTGGTGGATCCAGGACACACTTATAGACCTCAGTGGGAATCAGTGGATCCAGGACACACTTATAGACCTCAGTGGAAATCGGTAGATCCAGGACACACTTATAGACCTCAGTTGGAATCGGTGGATCCAGGGACACACTTATAGACCTCAGTGGAAATCGGTAGATCCAGGACACACTTATAGACCTCAGTTGGAATCGGTGGATCCAGGACACACTTATAGACCTCTGGGAATCGATGGATCCAGGACAAACTTATAGACCTCAGTGGAAATCGGTAGATCCAGGAACACACTTATAGACCTCAGTGGGAATCAGTGGATCCAGGACACACTTATAGACCTCAGTGGAAATCGGTAGATCCAGGACACACTATATAGACCTCAGTTGGAATCGGTGGATCCAGGACACACTTATAGACCTCTGGGAATCGATGGATCCAGGACAAAAAACTTATAGACCTCAGTGAGAATCTGTGGACTCCAGGACACACTTATAGACCTCAGGGGAAATCGGTGGATCCAGGACACACTTATAGACCTCAGTGGGAATTGGTGGATCCAGGACCACACTTATAGACCTCAGTAGGAATCGGTGGGTCAATGACATTTAAAAACAGTCTGGCACTTTGCCTCAGCTCATCTGAAGGGAACAAGTAACAAGAATATTGAGCCTTCACACATGACATAACCACTGACCACTTGTTAATCTGCTATAGATAAGAGACATCGTGACATAACCACTGACTACTTGTTGTATCTGCTATAGATAAGAGACATTGTGACATAACCATGACCATTGTTAATCTGCTGCTATAGATAAGAGACATCGTGACATAACCACTGACCACTTGTTGTATCTGCTATAGATAAGAGACATTGTAACATAACCACTGACCACTTGTTTAATCTGCTATAGATAAGGAGAACATCGTGACATAAACCACTGACATACTTGTTTGTATCTGCTATAGATAAGAGACATCGGACATAACCACTGACTACTTGTTGTATCTAGCTATAGATAAGAGACATCGTGACATAACCACTGACCACTTGTTGTATCTGCTATAGATAAGAGACATTGTAACATAACCACTGACCACTTGTTTAATCTGCTATAGATAAGAGACATCGTGACATAACCACTGACTAATTGTTGTATCTGCTATAGATAAGAGACATCGTGACATAACCACTGACCACTTGTTAATTTGCTATAGATAAGAGACATCGTGACATAACCACTGACCACTTGTTGTATCTGCTATAGATAAGAGACATTGTAACATAACCACTGACCACTTGTTTAATCTGAATATAGATAAGAGACATCGTGACATTAACCATCGACCACTTGTTTAATCTGCCTATAGATAAGACATCGATGAAATTATTAGTAGAATTAGAAACATGACAGCTAATCATTTATTTTCTGCAAGAGTATTCACATATACAGAAAACTGTTACTTTAATCTTTAGAGGTCAATAGAAATCCTGCCCTGTGTATTCCAGTGGTATTTTTTTGCTGGTGCCATCCATGGACTCTTTTCTTGTGCGGTGGAGCACACCAGCTGCTCACGGTTGAGAGCTTGGTTAATCCCTATTGAGTGACTTGTAAATACCTCCCTATCTTCCATATAGATGAAAAGGACACACTTAGCTAACATGTTGTTGTTGTTGTTGTTGTTGTTGTTATCGATCCTCCCGCGGCGCATGAGCTTTCCGCCCTTTGGCCCCAATGCCATGTAGTGGAATTTGCATGTTTCACAAGCTGTTTCTTTTCCTCCGTAACAAGGTGTTCCACTTGTCTGGTCTCGGAGGGAGTACGCGTTCTTTCTTGTCTCCACTGAGTTTTGGGCACTCAAAGAGATGGTGGTGTTCAACAGTTTTCGTAGGGGTAGTTACTATCTGGGCACTCTGCGGGGAAGTGTGGTGGCTCGTATTCTGTTTGAGGTCGTCCATTGAGTGGAGTATGTTGCGTTCTAACGTCCTTGCAGATGGTGGCCTGGTCCCCGTTTCTTGTTAGATGGTTAATGCTGTTCATTAGGATCAGGCCAGGACATATGTCTATAAACCTCTCTTCCTTGTCCTCTCCATGGCCCATCTGTTTCAACCAAGTCTCTTTGTTTATAGACTCCTTATCAGTGTTTTTTTTGGCTGTCTGAAGGGTTGTCGCTGTAGGTGGTTGTTCTTGTGTTGCTCCTTTCTTTGCAAATCTGTCAGCTCTATGTCCATTTACCTGGTGTGCCGAGAGTGACCTGAAAATCCACTGCAATCACTATTCTGATGTTGTATGAGCGTAATAAGCATGATCGCCAACCAGGATTATCTTGTGCTAGGTCAGTCGTCAGCGTTCATTGCCCTTCCAGAGCTTGAATGGCAGACATTTTGAATCTGTGAATATGACCATATTTTGGAACTTGTGAGGGGTAAACAATTCCATTTTACAGAGTCTTTAGGTGGGTTATACAGCTGTTTCCAGTGCAATTATTTCAGATTCATAATTTGAACAGAAATTCCCCCGTATTTCAATTCGACAATCCTCTTCAACATATCCATCGGGATAACCGATGTGAGTCCGTAACCTGCTTTAATGGTAAGCTTTAAATGCTGATCCCATCATTATTAGACAATGTATCCATTCTTGGGGGTAAGGAGATCAACATTCACTAGTGATGAGTTCCTAAGAGCGATTTTGGTAGGACTGTTTGGTTTCCTCGCATACCAAATTTAAGTTTTTGCGACATTTGGCAGCTTTAAAGCGAGCATGTGGTGGTAAGGTTTTTTTGCAACATTCTTAATTCCTTGACTGTCTTCTGGGAGGTGGTATCTGTCTCTGAATTTCGTTAACACAGTGTAAAACCGATTTGTGCTTGCTTTCTTTCTTTGTTTGGATTCCCAGTTTTCTACAAGATGTCTATTAGGATTTGGTTACGATTTTTTCCTAACGCATCTTTCATAAGTTCTACAAGTGGGCTTTTTCTCCTCCGCAACACGGTCGGTTTTCAACATTTGTATGGATTTCCGATGCAGCAGTGGGTGTATACTTGTATAGCTCCGCAGATTAATCTTGAGGGCATTACTTTTGTACTCTGTCCAAGAGTCTCTAGGTTTAGTTTTTGGAGCAAGTTTCTGTAAGCAGTGAGTTGTTGTCTCTTATCCCCAGAGCGAACATTAATCTAGGTATAACCCCCTCAGATGTTTCCTTTGTCTGATCACCATGACGTACCCTGCGTCCTCTTTAATAAAATGAAAATAACCTGTAACCGCCTCAATTGCCTTATTCTCTGATGTGTTCAAATATGGTTCTTGAGGCCTGAGCGGCGGGTTCTAGTGTGACTCAAAGGTAATGTGGGATGCTTCTTCTTTCCTCACTTGGTGTTTGTTCTAAACCTCAGGTTCCTATGCTTCCTTTCTACTTGTTGGCTTTTGGTAAAGAAGATTGTGCATACCGTCTTTGCACAGTTAATCTTGAGTTTTCCATCTTTTGCAGTAATCATGCAGTCTATCTTAGGTCCTCCAGTTCAGATCTTGGCTCCACTTTCCACATTTTCCATGATCTGTCCCTAGTGCGAGGTCATACAGCGTACAGGCTTTTTCGGCCATTGAATTTGCTTCAGGGCAGGTCCATTGAAATAAAGATTGAGGAATAGTGTACGAGCTCAATCGATGAGCCTTGTGGCAAGCCCCATCCCTCCAAGACTTCTCTTAGAAGAGATTGCGTTGTGGATCTTAGGTCATGGATTGTGTCTATCTATCCAGGGAAGGATTTCACCCAGTTATACAATCTGCCATTGTATCTCCTATGCTCATAATCTTCAATCAGGAGACCTTTTCTTTCTCCATACTCTGTCATAGGCCTGCTGTGAAGGTCGACAAAAGACGGCCACTGTGTGTTTCTTATTCTGGATCCAATCATGTATTATTTGTGTCAGTCTGAACAAGCTTGGTCTTCTGTGCAGCTGTTTGGTTCTGAAGACTGCCTCGTTCATGGCATAGAACACCAAAACTCCCGAAGAACCAGTACAAACGCCCTGTTTAACATTCTTTCTGGCAAGCCTTTGCCCACGCATGATGTAAAGGATATCGGGCGGTAGCTTTTTGGGGTCATCGTGGAGGCTTTTTGGTTTTAAGGATGGGGACGATATATATGCATGATCCTCCATGCCCTTGGAAGTTTGCTTGACCTCAAAGTTTTATAATATAAGCCTGAGAACTACTTCTCTCCACAGACCACGCCCAAGATGTAGCAGCAGTTCGTTGGTGGATCTTATTCTGGGCCTGGAGAGTTTCTAGGTTTTTAATATCTTCATGGCTTGCTCTAATTCATACATGCTAAATTCATTTTCAAAAAGGGCGTCGCCTGGCTGTGTAGCTCTCTCTTGTTTCTTCAACTGAGAGAGTATGTGTTCTTTTGAGTTCTGACAGCGTACCCTTGCTATGTTAATGAGCAAAAATAATGAATTGAAATGTTTATGCTTTCTTCTTGTCTTCCAGTGCTTGTGCCTTACTCCCATCCTGTCCAATGGTTTTTGGGGTTCACCTTTTTCTACTTCTTCTCCGGAGAGGTTTTTAACTAAATTCCATGCTTTATTTCCATTCTGATATAAGGTATAAGTTGGAGTCAAG